TGGGTGTGGTCCTCATGAACCAACGATAGAGAGAAACGGGCAACGACCAACAAACCAACAAGTGTCGGCGAACAGAGTGGGCGCCCACAACTGGGGCATGCGCTGCAAGGGCTACACCAACTCTGCCTTAGCTAGAAAACATCAGTGCGACCAAACCTCCTTAACGGCGAGCGTTCTGCGGCGCACGAACCTAAACTACCTCGGCCTCAGCAACATAAGGCTACAGTTAGTATGTCTTCCCCACCCCCGGTCTCCGCAAAACCAGCAAACACGCCGCAAACCACGCGAAAACTAAACTCAAAGCACGCGCCAAAATATCTGGCAATTACCTTATTCATCCTGAACAACCCAAAATATCTGGTATTTACCTCATTAACACTTAAACCAAAATATCCGGCATTCCACTTCTAAGCCGTATGTACCTGAGCTGGTCCTGTGCGAGAGCCTTGGTCGGAAAGAGGTACAGCGCGACGGCGTCCGGGCGCGGGCCGACGATGGCTTCGATGACGGAGACGTTGAACACCACCGACTTGCCCGACGACGTGGCGGTGGACAGAGCCACGTGCCGCCCGGCCGCGGCGGCGTCGATGGCTAGGGCTTGGTGCTTAAACAGCCTGTTGTCAGTTAGGAAGGGGGGTCGGGCCCGAGGGTGGGGGGTGGGGGGTACTAATGTAAGCACGTGCTGTAGTCGTCATAGGTCATTGACCAAGCAGCATCCCTTGGGAGAGACGACTGGAGCACCGGCGGATCTGCTTTTGACAGTTGACAGCGTTACCGCTCATACCCGACCATTGTGAATAGCAGGGGGGGTTGTGTGTGCGCCGCATACGAGGGTGAACATTGGACATTTCCACCAGCACATGAAGTCAAAGGCATGGGTCGAAAGAAAGGCAGAAGAAGGAAAGAACATGTGCCGCGAACGTGTGAGGGTACGCACGTACCGGACTACTGCTGCCTGGCCCCATTCTCTCGCTGTCGGCGACCACCGCAACACCGACCACATAGGGGGGGGGAGGGATCGAAAGCAAACCATAAAATCAAGCTAAATACGTAACTATTTACACCGCACGCCGCAAGCCGCAGGCGTACGCATTGCGCTCTGCCCTGCTGCACGATGCTGCGTACCCCTATCTAGCATACTTCGGAGCACTCATTTGGCGGGCCGACTGAGTGGTCCGATGGATTAGCCTCTACCATCTCACAGCGCACTCCCCTTCTTCTTCTCCACCCTAACGCTCTTGCGGTCAGTGTTACTACATGTTACATACCTTGCCACCCCCTTCGAACGCTCCAGCGCCGCCTTCACCTCCGGGTGCAGCGGCCTTTTCGTGTCCTCGTACTCTCCGGCCCTGCCCGGCAGTGTCTCGGAGTAGACCGCCTGGTCCTCGTAGATGGGCAGGGACTTGAGGTACTCCAGGGCCCGGAGCGGGTCAAACCTGTACCGGACAACGAACGGTTGTGTATCGTTCTGTGTAAAATCATTGTACGCTTTGTTTTTCGTTGC